CGGTCCCAACCTTCTACAAAGGCCGCGTCGGCATCTCCGGCGACGCCGCGCACGCTACCTCACCGCACCACGGCGCCGGCGCGGGCTTCTGTATCGAGGATACAGCCGTGCTGGCGACACTACTGGAAGACGAGCGCGTGCAGACGCACAAGGATCTTCAGGCGGTGTTGGCGGCGTTTGATGAGAACCGGCGCGAGCGGTCTCAGTGGTTGGTGCAGAGCAGTCGGTTCATTGGCGATTGCTATGAGTGGAGGGCTGATGGGGTAGGAAGCGATTTCAAGAAGATCGAGGAGGCGATTAACTATCGGAATGGGATTATTGCCAATGTGGATGTTGGCAAGATGTGTGAGGAGGCTAGGGGGGCGTTGGGGAGGAGGATTGAGAAGGCTTCGTTGTGAGTATGAATACTACTAGACTTTTGGAAGGAGGGGTTTGTACGATGATAGAGGGTCTGTTTGTGTTCTTTGTGGTTTCTAGCGAGATATATCGTTTGTTTAGCATGTGCTTGTTGGATAGATTAATTCATTCTTAGCATGTTATTCTGAGGTCTTCGTTTGCTCAGCGGTATTACACTGAATTAGCATTGATAATGAATGGTCCTAGGAGATTATGATGATAGATAGCTATGTAGCACTAAGCCTGTATTTGTTCCACAGCATACATGCCTTATGCGGCATTGTTCAGTATTAACATATGTGATAAATCGTAGTAGTAGGCTCACTTAAAAAAGAAGCCACTAGGACAGCTCAAGCAACAAGTATGGTCCATCCACAGACTTCAATCTCTCACCATGAAATATTAACCAGCACCGAATTCACTAATGACATCATCCTCTGTTTCGTACACAATCGATCGGGGTATCATAGAATAAATATAGATTGTTGGAGTCGTCTGGGTGGTATCTGAGAAATGAACTGTGTGAAGTTAGCATGATTCTGTCCATGAGTATAAAGTCCAGGACCTTCCCTCTGGGGACATACCTGCGTTCAGTTATACACCCTGCAACGTTCCATAAATCAGTTACATCATGTTTCTTTGCAGAGAACATCATTCTCCGTTCTCAAATTCTCCCCCACTTGCTCACTCTGAGACCTCAACGAGACCAACCACTCCCAAACAAACGACAGGGGATTCATGAGGCTCTCAATGGGACTGTAGGGCGATAATGCGGGGTCGTAGAAATGCGTCGCCATGATTATTCCTTGATTCAACAATCATTCACACGCGTCACTTTCAAGAAACTAATCCTCTCAGAAGAAAGAAATATTGAAAATAGAACCAGAACAGATCCCTATCCCTGAAGATGGAATGAGATGAAGGGAATGCCCTCAGCAACAAACAATGCAAATGATTCGCATAATGGCGTGCCGTGCCTCCACCGCTCATTCATTCATTGGTTCCCCGCATTTCTCATCGCTGGGCGGTGGGAAACTGGCATGTTTGTTCTCCAATTATATTTTGATTGCAAACAGTGCAATTAATTATTACTAATGTTTGGTGTGTTTGGACTGTTTGGATTGTTGGTATGTGTTCTTCGGTTCGGGCTTACGGCCGAGAGACCCCCGAACTTGGGGGGAACTCGAATTTGGGATTTCGGATGTGATCACTGACCGCCTTGAGAGCTTCCGATGGAGGGTTCTTGGGTTGTGGGTGGGTGTTGGTTCCGATGGTTGGCTGGGGCTGGGGGGAGGGGTAGGAAGGAATCGGGGGTTGATTGGGGATGTAGTGAGTACATTTTCGTCTCATTTATTTCTTGGTTGATGTGTCTAGTGGCGTAATGTTCTTATGATGAGATAGAGCGATGCTCTGCATTGTTGGGGGCTATCGGATATTGGTCTAGGGGACGGTATCCGGATGGGAGACAGCTACGCCGCTTGACAATTACAGTATTATAGTTAGAGCCATATCCCATTTTCTGGATATTTTCAGTGGAAAGGTCATTTTCATCTTTCACTCAGTAAAGCAGATTTAACATGCTTTCATGGGTGATATCACCCTCATCTCACTGGCAGTTTCGTGATGAGCATAGCCGACATACAGAATGTGGAGACGGCCGATATAGTGGGTCTATGGCTATCATCTACTTACCCCAGGTCTTGGCTCCGTGGGTTATCTTGACTAGATAACTGTCAGCTTAGGATGACTTTGGATCTATAAGATTACAGTTGAGCTGAGTGAGTGGAAAGAGTTGAGAATCTACAGAATTGCGGAAGTTATTTACTGGTGATGTTGTACGGGAGGGTTAAATTAGAGCAGGTTGATTTGATGTTGCTTACACTGCTGTCATGCCCATCACAAGTGACACTTCAGAGTGAAGATGAAGTGAAGGGAAAGAATTGAAGGAAAAGTAATACCTGAGGTAATTACTAGAGCTTCAACGAGATGCGCAGCCTGGGAGTTGGGGAGGCTACGGGGATGGGGAATCTAGTCCACGAGATGATGAGAACTATAGTGAATTACAGGTGCTATAGATGATCGGATGGCCTCACTTCTCAATTGATCTTACACTCTTTCACAAATGAGAAATGAGCAAGTCAACTAAGTCGCAGTGATTCTCTCCTGAGAGGTGCAGGCCATTGCAGCCACTACTCGCTGTTCATCTACTTACCATCTGGACCATCTATCTACTTACAAAAGCTACGATCAGCATTGATGTGAATCGTGGCTTGGGACTGACACCTCACCTCATGAGACTGTATGGTCTCATAAACGTTGGCTGCGATAGAATTCCTCTGTTTTACCATACCTAATTTCTCATTGCCATTTGGGCCATATCTTTACTTACTTCTTGAGTATGAGGGCGGATCTCAGTTCCTTTACGTCCAGTGACTGAGGCACCTACAAACGCTGAAACTTTGTTTGTTTTTCCTACTTCCCACGGAAACTCCCCATTTCCATTTCCTCCAACACATTCGCCTCCTAACAAACGCCATCTGGAAATGAAGACTATCACCTACTCATCCAAGAAATCTTATCACTATCTCTGAGCTTTCCTCATCAGTCACTTTGACAGTAAGGTATCCCTCATCATGTGTAAAAGGCATGGCCAGCCATCCATGTCATTTCTGACGGTTGTCTTGCTGCTACAGTCTCTCAAAGTTGCCTTACACAATGGAACTCCACTACCAATCAAGCAGTCAGATGGACGACGAAATCTACGTTGTCACCCAGCAACTTCAGGAGTTACAAGAGTATCTTGACTCTCAAAAAGGGAAGGGTCGGGCCGATGACAGTGAAGACTATCTACAAGCATATCGCCAAGAGTTGGGAGCACATCTAAGGTCACTGCAGGACAACAAGCTCGCCTGGAGCATTGCTGTGGCAGTACGTTCCGACAGTCGTGTTATTGCTGCTATTACACGGGAAGAAGCTCAGGCAAGCGATGATCGACGTCTGGCAATCAGAATAAATGAAAGAAACGATGACTCGGACTCTTCAACCACTGATGATGATGTGGAACAGCCTCAAGCAGCCACAGAGCCCCAGTCCAGTGACGATGAGTGCGTCGCGGGTCCCTCGATGACATACACAGAAAGACAGGCCTTGGAATTGGAGAAGCCCGCCGCCACGGAAACTCGGTGCTGCGTGTGCTACGAGAGTTACTTCGCTCACAAGGTGAAGCAGTTGGACTGCAACCACATTTACTGTGACGATTGTCTCAAAGATCTTTTTCTAAGAGCGACGAAGGACTCAACTCTATTCCCCCCACGATGCTGCCGTATGCCGATTCATCTAGAAGCTGTCCAGGAGCATATGTCAGAGTCTGAATTATCTGATTTCAAGAGCGCGGAGATTGAGTTCTCCACCGCTGACCGCACTTATTGCAGCAATACCAGCTGCGGCAAGTTCATACTACCTCAAAACGTCACAGCCGGCCGTGCTGAGTGTCCTCACTGCAACCTGAATACCTGTGCCATGTGCAAAAAGGCTTTTCACATCGATGACTGTGTGGAGGATACTGATCTGCAAGCTACACTGGCGCTAGCTAGTACCCAAGGATGGCAACGGTGCTTTCGTTGCAGGGCTCTCGTCGACCTGGGGTTCGGCTGTTACCACATAACGTATGCATATACTTCTTCCGCATTCCCCACTTCCACTTACTTACCTGTTCACAAACAGGTGCAAATGTCGCGCTGAGTTTTGCTACCTCTGCGGTCTTCAATGGAAGACATGCGAATGCGTGATTTGGGACGAGAGAAGACTCGTCGCCAGAGCGGCAGAAGTTGTAGACCGTCAGGCACTAGCGCCCTTGGAACCTCAGATCCGCCATATGCTAGTTCAGAGAATGCGGGCAAATCTGGTTGAGAATCACGAGTGCGAACACCAAGGCAGATTCCGGCGTGTTGAAGGTTCAAGAAGGCGAGCATTTGATTGCGAGATCTGTGGAGAACGCCACCGGAAGTACATCCTGGACTGTCGCCAATGCCAGATTGTAGTTTGTGAGAGCTGCCGACGGAATCGAATTTGATGCAGTGTAGGAAGGGTACGCAATTTGTTGACTGATAGGAAGAATCGATTGATGGAGAACTGCAGTGTTTGATGAGCAGATGATTGTCCATGTTTACCAGAAATGCTTTTTCACGAGTGGTTGGGCAGATCAGTGTGAAGTGTGGTACTTACTTGACGAGCTTCATAGGTAGCAGAGTACTTATGTTTACCTGAATGTTGTTTCGTTCCATGTTCAGATCAAGTAATAGTTATGTCCTAGGATTTGTGCATGTCTGCTTTGTCGGGATATCATTATTCTTGTGTCATTACGCTACGGCATAGAGAACAACATATACAAAGGCCTCCTTTGAACCTCACTAGCTCACTCCCATAAGAATTAAGAGCTTGTATACTACCGTTTGACCATGCTGGCAATTCTTCAATCCAGATAACGATACGGCGACGATGTATCTACCTAATCCCATTCCCAACTCAATACTGCCTAGAAACATAGGTTTTGTTTGTAGAACACGTTTTCTCATTCCATGATTATAGTATACCTTGATTTAAATTCATGCAACCTGCTCGAAATACTTCAAAAACTCCGCATCCCTCACCAAAGCCTCATACTCCTTCTCCGGCGCTTGCACGAAAACCTCAAACACCCTCGTATCACTCCTGGAGATATCCGGCAATATTATCGCGCACGCCCCCGGCACCCCCGCCTGCACCCGAAACGCCACGGGCCTTGTCGCCGCTCCCAAATCATACTTGGCTGCGCTCCCTGCATGCCAGGTGTTCATGAAAAAATCCATGCCTGCAAAGTCCGCGTTCGGAATAAGCATCTCGGTGTCCGCGAGTGAGGTCTGCAGTGCTGTGAGATGTCCAATCTTCGATATGTCAACGGCGTGGATGGATTGGCGGATCTTGGTGGCTGTTGCGGCAAGGCCGCGGTCCCCTTCGGAGATGAGGGTGGTGGCAGACACTGGTCCAGCCAGGGTACCTATTACGGCGTTGCCGAAATACTGGAGAGATGATTTGTGCTCTGGGTCGCGGGATCGGACGTCGATGGGGTGGACGAAGCGGGATGGGGCGTTGGCTTGGTCGGGGTGAATGTGTAGGCGGGCCCGGGTGAGTGCCCTCCATAGGAGGGCGGAAATGCAGTCGTAGGATGTTATGTACTCGACCTGGTCCAGATATGGGGCGCATCGAGCTTTGAGCTGCTGAATGGTGGGTTCTGTGATGCGGTAGATGCCGGCGCGGGTTGGGGGTGGTGGCTTGAATTGGAACTTGGTTTTCTCGATGATGTGGAACAGGGGGAGTTGAGCGAGTCGATCTTGTAGCGAGATCGTGGAGTCCAGGGCGGGAGCATTATAAGGATCTCTTTTGAGGTCTGGAGTGTAGGTGGGCATGTCCAGGCCTTCCTGATGTGCCTTGCTGCTTTGACAGACGAGCGAGATGAAAGTGCTGAGAGATACCCAGTCCCCGGCTGCGTGGTCCACTCGAAACCCTACGGTCAGGCCCCCTTCAATGAGATTGATTTGCATTAGGCATACCGGGTGCTTCGCGATTGGATCTTTCGGTAGAAATTGAGTCAGATCGAGCTTTCTGGGAGAAAACGAGTCCTGGGCCAAGACATGGAAGGGCTTGCACTCGGTGCCTGTGTATCGGCGTACGCTGACTTCCACCGCGCTGTCAGGGGAGGTCACGATGCAAAGCCTTCCGGATTTGTTGAATTCAAGAAGACCTGCCATGAATGGTAGCTGGCGAGTTGTGTGCTTTACTCCCTCCAATAAGGAGGAAACCACACTCTCTGTGTCAACAGTGGCATGGAGATCATAGAAGAGGACGGCTTTCACAGTCTTGGTGAAGCCTCCTTTGTCAAGATCTGACAATTCATACATCTTTGTGCCCTGCATGGTCTCATTCGTGGATCGTAATGGTCGTGTTTAGTCTGATTGAAAGCTTGTTGCTCTGAACACAATCCAAGGTTGTTAAGTATGGATGTCGTCGCCGTCGGGAACCCGAAGTGGTCAAGCCCCGGGACGCCTAAACAGGCCCGATTGGGAGCCCGACCGGGCGGTTACTCGCTCAGTGTTTCACCTTTGCCTCTACACGATTCCTTCGATACTCCATTACTTATATCAACTCTGACACTGCTCACAGAAATTGAACCAGCCACAGTCAGTGTAATAGCCACGACCATGACGATAAAATGGGATATGATCAGATGAGAACAACAGGCTGCCGGGTTGATCCAAACAATGTATCAGGATCAAAGTCACCCCAGAGCTTTAACAACGGGATATCAAACCTGCCCACCCGGCGGAAGCACTGGCTTTCATGATCCCCTTGACATGGCACAACTATTAAGCCGTGGATAACATGGTATGTCTTCCTGGAAGACCGCAGCGGAATAGCATAAGCCTGCTGCATTCCTTCCGACTCAATTTCTTGCAAACTATCTGGATAGCATTTACCCAGTAATGTGCCCGGGCGCAGTTCCTCCGACTTGTCTGTTTCTTCCTGGCTGGTAGCATAAAACTTCCCCTGTGAGGGGTGCCAAAATATACTCTTCATCGAGACGTTCAGTTGCAACCGCCCGTCCGTAACTTCACCGTACGGCATCTTCTCGTTCGCTAGAGTCACTTGGCAATCAACAATCTCACATTCCGGCACATCTTCTCTCCAGAAGTGCATTGTATTCGCTCGCAGCACCTTGCCGTTTACTGCAGCCCAGGACCAAGACGGGGCGCGGTAGCTCTCGGGTCGAGCATGTAGTGGTGGATCAGCTTCCCAAAGGAGGTCTTCGAGGAGGTTATGCTTCCATAATCCAGCGAGGTACTGGCTATGAGTCCAAGTGCGATAGAAAGTTTCTGCGATGCCGTAGAATGCGATGAGACGATCGCGAAACTGTGTGATATCGCGCGCCGTGTATTCTGCGAGGACCGAGGCCCACGTATTTTCAATCGTAAGGGCAGAACTCTCTTCGTACGTGAGGGGAGCCCAGTCCCCCTCTTCTGGCTCCATCATTGTGCTCGGTAGGCGCGTGTCTGCATTCCATGCTGCAATGTTGGAGTTTCCGATGTTAAGGTAGTGCGACTGACATTGAAACCGCACGGTTCGAGTTGTGAAGATCAAAGCTCGCTGGGTAAGAAGCTTCTCCTCGTAGCACCAAGCTCTAGTATCTATTGGCTCGCGGGGATCAATTGTGCCCTCCCTGATCCACATAGTGCCGATGCGGTTGTCGTCGCAGCGGAACGGTAGCGAAACTGCTGGGGGTGGGGGATCGCGGTCTTGCAAGAAGCCTTGACCGACTTGAGATGCGCTGGCTGCAACAATGGTGACAAATGCGTTTTGGAAGGTTTTGCGGATTTGTGGGATCTCGCGACTTTTATCCTCCTTGGAGTCTTGGATGATGCACAGGCTGTCGACCCATAGAAAGCGGATCCCGAGTTGATGAGTGCAGTGGATCGCATCTTTGATTGTCTGAGGGAGTGAATGAAATGGGATCTCTTCACAGTATGACTTGAGATTGTGAGTTTGCATCCGATGTGGCTGGGCCTCTCCCCAGCGATAACTCAGAGCTGTGTATCTTCCCGATGCTCCCCCTTGGGTGATATGAAGTTTTGGATGCTCCGGATCCAAACAATCGACCACTCGAGTCGGCAGGTAAAGGGCCTTTCGATGATGGCACTGGTCATGTCCCCCAGTTGTGCACTCACTAATAAGCTTAGCTGCATGAGAATATGTAGCAGGAGAGTTGACCTGCCAGATGATTTCGCGTGTGGGGATATACTCCGCAGCATTATCACCTGCCAGAATTAGCTACACTACTCCGGTATAAATACTGATAATCAAACAAACCATCCACTGTATGTACCTCGAAGGTTTGACTCCAGATGTCATTCAGCGAGAGGGCCAGAAGGGTACGTTGTTCTTGCCCCGACCTCATGCGGAATCTCACAGCTATTGTATACTCTGCCTCGGCATGAAGAGGGCCATCCGTCCCAACCTGAGCTGAAATCTGCTCGTTGAGGAATTGACACCATTTACAGCCTTGTTTGGCAGAGATGGCGATTTCTCCCAGGCTCACCTTGTAGGAGAAGCCTGAATCGTGGGGTCGAAATTGAGCCTGCCAGGCAGTCTGAAATCCATTCCGGGAGAATAGGCTATCCCAGCAACGCTGGCAGACAGAAGGATGCGACGTCATGCCACGAAAGGAGTTGAAGAAACGGGCTATTGACGGGGGTATGAGTCCACACATTGATTGTAACTGGATATGCTTGTTGCGGAAAAAGGATGTCACAGCCAAGATGTAATCTAGAATTGGTGATATTAAAGTGCACACGGTTCAAAAATAATGTTTCCTGGGTATCATCTATATTGATGGCAAGTAAGCCACAGCAAGGTTACAAAGATGTGGTTGTAATTGCCCAACTCTTGACCTAGAGGCCTGAATGTCACGTGAAATCGGTCTCCTTTCGTGTCCAGGCAGGAAGAATACGACCATAATGCAGAGCAAGGGTTATTTTCAGCCTTGTATGGGATGACCAAAAAGAATATGTCCAGATCCCTGGGTTGTTACAGTCGGGACAATGTCATTTGGCTAAGTGCTTAGCAGTGGGAAATGCAGAACCTTGTGCTGGGAAGCATACATCGGACACAGAAAAGTGGGCCTCCGCCTCGTTTACCCGATGTTGACATGAACTCTACATTTTATTGGAGAGAATGACTGTACTATCTGCCGTCCGATGCATGAAAACGGGTCACCTCAAAAAGCTGTGACGTGTTGAGAGTGGAGCAACTCAACAAGCCTTCTGCTCGAATGCCTCAAAGGAAATCTAAGATCACTGGGGAAAAATGTCAAATAAAATAATCTATTATCACAGGAACAAGTACTTTATCATTCAAACGCCAAGATTCAACACATGGGAGAAAACCAATACACATCATCGTTGCAAACCTCTTTTCTTCTCATCCAATATCACTCGCCTCTCTTCATTGTCCGTAAGCGCCCACCATTTCTCCTCCCAATCCCTCAGCTTGCCAGGAAAGAACTCCGCCAGGAGTGCTCTTCCGAATCCCTTATACCCCAATTCCAGCTCCATAAGCGAGTACATCACTTTGTACTCGGCGAAGACTGAAGGCGTACCCTGCGAGCTTTCGCTCAACTCGATTGGAATGCCCAGCATCTCAGGGAAGCGCGGTGCCCCTGCAACTATAAGATTCTGAATCATGCCCAGCCCCCCAACGCCGACCAGATACCAGGTGTGACTCTCGATGGCTTGGCTGGTAATTAAGAGAACGAGCCAGAGGATGGCAAGAAGTGTAATGAGAAACCGTGTCGTGTTACATGACTCGATCATCCGGGATATAGATCGACGATTCGAGTTCGCTGCTCCTGAATGTCGAACCTGAGCCCCCGCCAGATCCTCCAAATCCAGTCCATCGGGATGGCCTCCATGCACAATCACCACATGGGTGGATCCGTTCCCCAACGTCAATGCCACGTCTTTCCCTGACCCTCTCCGGCACGCCCATTTCTCTTTTCGCCAGCCCGGCAATGCCCCCGCGGCATACGCCAGGACGGTCCCGCTAACCGTCACCAGAAAGACTCGCCAGTCCCCGTAAATCCCGAACGGGACAGCACTGATGGCAATCTGAATGAGTGAGACCAGCAGTCCTGTCCACCAAACCCAGTCATGGCCAGGACGCGCTAAAGAGTTCCCCTTAGTAGACCAGTGATAGACAGCCACACATAGAGCCACCTCTGGCTGCCGACCTCCCGGAAGCAAGCCCGGAACCTTCTTCTCTTCGTCACTGTTCTGACTCGGATGCTCTTCCAACCGCTCACGCACCGCACTCGGCATCCAATGCTCATAGTCCTGAAACACCCGACCGAGCACCCATGATCGATTCCAGCGACAGTAGCCAGACTTGAGATTAATCACCCGTAAATTAGTGATAGGAGTCTCAGGCATGAGCCGGCCATCGCCAGTGGCAGAGAGAAGGGCCGACACGGCGTATGCAACCCATCCGTAGGAGAATGCGACCGGGGTAAGAAATCCTCCCGATACGGCCCCCAAGGCTTGCTGAACAATGTCTCCACCGATAATTAGAAGGACTGTGAAAATGTCGGATGGCTCCTTCCACTGGTCCCGAAGGCTTTGAGCGGGGGACACCATGGTCGTTTGTTGTGGATGTAAGATGTATAATAAACTTTGAGACAAATTTCCGGGGCCATGGAGGCTATGGCCCGAGAGTTATGATAAACGGAACTAGAGCGCGCGCCGGTTCATGTTGGGCTTCGGGCCATCATGCAGGGCATCGGACTAGCTGGCGGTGGCTAATGGCTATGTACTTAGGTACGGGTTGGGAGCGGGACTATCACACACCGCAGATCGACACAGCGGTGATACTGCTTCCTTGTTGAAGGCGTTTTCGCTTTTGAGCGGGTGATCTCTTTTAAGGCAAAGAAGGTGAAAAATTATTGTGATCCACGGATACGCAGACCTCACGATAGTGGAAAAAGCAAGCATGATGGCCGAAGCTAAAGGATGTTAAGCGAGGCTGAATTGGGCGGGGAGGACAACGCGCCGACAACAGCACGTCTAATTCACAGCCCGATCATGCAGTAAACACCAGGCTGTCAATGATATCATATTGTATCTTAGAGCTTTTAGATCTCAGCTGAACTAAAACTGACTTAAATATCGACCTCTGCATCCCAGTAACGCACCTACCAGGGATTAGGATGCGGGGCATCGGTCGGATATGCGCTTGGACCGGGTTGTGGATATCGATGAAGAATGGGGGATAAGCTTTGACGGCTTAGTGTGACTGAATGTCAAGAACGATGAAAGCCAAGGGTGCGCAAGAAGGAATGAAGGGTAGGATGATGTAGATCTTGTTGATTCTCGGTATGGCCCTTCGTATTCCCTCAACAGGCCAAGACATTTAATTTCCTATGAGTTAATCCCATTAGCATTGATCGTGCTACTAACCTCATTGTCATTCTTCTCCTTCACCAACCATCCTCCACAACCATCAACCAAGTCCTCGACCCACTGGGTTCTTTGTGTCCCCTGCTATTTTCATCTCATACTATTGGAGCCTACATGCCTTTTCGTCAAAATTAGTGAATTCTTGTACATCACCATGCTAGACAAACTCCCCACGGAAATATTGAGTATAATGCTGAGCTATGTGAGGATTAGAACTGTTCTTTGGAAACCCTTTGACTTCACATGCTAATAGTTGAAGGTAACTAGTCATAAAGACCTAAAGCAAGTATGTGAGGTGTGCACCCGCCTGCGGGACTGTGCTATACCCCGCCTTTATCAGTGCCTGGTCTTCAATGATCCGGAAGCGACATTGAAAGAGTTGGCTGCGGCTGTAAACTCAATTCCAAGAAGATATGCGTCGCATATACGAGACCTTGAATTGAGGGTTCTGATCCATCATCGAACATGCTATCACGAAATACATGATGACGCATTCGACCCCGAGGACTCGCTATCTGACTACTCTGAATATATGGAACATGAACTAGAACGTGATATCAGAGATGGAATAGAATTAACTATGCAGATGGTGGGGTAAGCAAAATAATGCCATGATCCACTCTTTCAGTGGTCTGAACGCATACTAAATTCTATAGACACCCCATGATAGTGAATCACTTGTTGATTTGATACATGCGTTGAACGATTTGCAGTTCCTCGATGATCAATTAGAAAGTTTTCGGTGGAATCTTGGAATGTGCATTCCAAATATGATACTATCTTCTAATGAGTTCTCCCTTCTCAGAAAGCAGAAGAAGGTCAAATCTCTCATACTCCACACGGATGTTTATTGCAATAAAGGTGTAGGCTCTGTTAATCTTGCGCAGTTCCAAGACCTGAAAAGCCTTTGCTGGAAGGGCCTGAACAAGTATAGAGACTTCGAGTGCCTCAAAGACTGTATCAAAGCTCATGGTCATCAACTACTTTCGCTCACCCTAGATCTTGACAATTGAGATCGTGCAAAAGATCTTTGGACTGACGAGTTTCGCCGACAGTGCGACGAAGAAATGCCAGACAACTTTTTTGTTCACAGGATTATGAACGCTAAAGTCGGAAATGAACGAACAATCATGCAGTCGCTCGAATACCTTGACTTGTCGGCTATCTCGTTTGAGTATGCCGACGTCGAGATGCCGTTTTTTTTCGGTACTGAGAACCTGAAAACCTTGAAACTGCGGAAATGTAAAGGATCACTTAAGTGGCTAGAACTGGTATCAAGCTCTGGGAAGTTGACGGAGCTTAAATACTTCGAGCTTGTTCTTACCAACAGCGGGCCTATAACTACAACCAAGGCAATCTGCAACTTTATTCATAGAGCTCCGAAATTACAGACTCTCTGTCTCATGGTCTGCAAACCTATCAGTTGGGAAACTCTTATAAGCACAGTTCGCCGTTGTAGCTCTTTGACACGTCTCGTCATGCATAGTTTAGCGGACGAACGTGTCCCAATACTCGGTGGCGAAGGCATGCCTTGGCCTTCGGGTCTGGAACAATTATTACAGGACAAACAGTTGGCCTGTTTTGGATCCTCTACACCACCTACTGAACTAGTATGTGCATACTGTGATCGAATGTCCTGTAGCTACCACTAACCAGAGCACAAGGCCAATCAGTTACAAGGCTTGCAGACTCGACCTTCATGCAAGCTTCTACACATCAGAGCTACGGGAACGGCTATGGTGAATATGCATTTTTTGACTTACTGTAGTAAGTGCACTTCAAAAACCCATGTCAATGGTTGCAAAGGGACAAAGACTTACACCGAGACAGACCCATTGTACCACCCCTTTGACATACACAAGTTTGCGGAGTGGGCATTCAGTGCTGACGGTCTGCCCGACCTTACCGTACTTGCTTGGGGGGATTTCTCTCACGAAGGCCACTTTTCACAGTACAATCGCCTCTACTGTAGATCCAAGACTGGCTATCGACGGTTGAACGCATCTGACATATCGCTTTCGGATCTCGTCAATGATAACATGGACATGCTAGCCGCCTGCCCATATACGGATACCAATGATCTGACAAGCTACGACTTCATGTAGCTATTTTTCGTTTCAGGTGCTCGTCAAATAACATATGACTTGACCTCGTTCTATTGCATGACCTACAGTTCAACTAAAGCTCCTTCAACCCTAGCTACAGAATGGAACTTGTCCCCCTTTTCTTACATCATCAGCCCAATACAATTATTTGACCTACACTAGTACAACAAACCGACAATCACTATTGATACAACATTCATAAAACAGATCTTCTCAACCTAAACAGCAAATAATACGGCAGCGAAGTCCCATCGGCTGACTGCTCCCTGCGGATATATCCGAGCCCAATAACCAGGTGTGCTACAAAGCAAATAAGATATATCCGTAGACAATGCTGGTAAGATGGCCGAGTGGTTAAGGCGAGCGGCTTAAGAGAGTTGTTTCCGAATTTTACTTATTCGGTTACGATTTAAAACTCCGCTTGACGAAAGTCAGCCTGGGTTCGAACCCCAGTCTTACCATTTATTTTTTCTGATTTATCTTTTTTCCTGGCCTAGGGTTTATTCCTTTCTTCTACAGATTTACATCCATGAATTATTTTGGAGGTTATTTATGTATTGTATGAAAGGACTTTACGTTATTAATACTTTGTTATCTTTACCACCCAGCTGGCTGTTGGGTGACTGCTTGCTACTTACTTACTAACCGCCTTCTGTTCTGACGCAATGAAAGAGAGCGACTAAGTGATACAGAAGGAAGGCAATGTGGTGGTGTTTTTGTCCCTTAGTCCAGAGACCTGCTCGATGCTAACAGGACTCGCTTGAGCCAAGATTGAGTAGATCTATACGGTACTATATATGCTACTAGTATGTGTAAAGAGACTGTGCATGGAGCAAGTGCCAGTGGCTGAAGATTATAACAAGTGTCCGGACTTGTCTAGTCCAGCTATCTATTATTATATAGTGGATTACTGCCAGCAGTATATGGGGCTTCTAAGCCGAAGGGGTATCATTAACTCAGGATTCTTGACCAGGTATATCTTCTCTCTTTTCCTCATTTGCCTGTCGGGAGCAGTACTTGATAATCCAAGGATGTTGTCGGACCTGTTCGAGAGTGATTCTTTTATCCGCATCAGTCACAAGAAGCTTAGAATTTGTTAGCATACTGCTGAACCATAGAAGAGAGGACGGTTGCTTTACCTTCCTGATAAGGTCCTTCGCTTCACGACTCACAAAAGAGGGGATTATCATGTCCGCTTTCATGATTCTTCTCTGCGTCATGACTGGCGTATCTTCGAACGGCGCGCTCCCAACCAAGAACTCATACAGTAGAACCCCGAGGGACCATAAGTCCACCTTCTGATCATACGGCTTATCGCACTTCTTCGGGTCAACCATTTCAGGAGGCAAGTAATCAAGCGTCCCGCATTTCGTAAGCCTGCGACCACTTGGCGCGTGCACACTCCAGCCAAAATCTGACATCTTGAGCTCTCCATGAATCCCCACAAGAATATTCTCAGGCTTGATGTCCCGATGAATCACAAGCTTCCGATGTAAGTACTGCAAAGCATTCGTCATCTGCGCAATGTACTGCGCAGCCTTCCACTCCGGAAATTGATTCTCCTTCTGCAAATGCTTGTATAGCTCGCCCTTGCCAGCAAACTCCAATATCAGGATTATCCGTTTGCTGTCGTGGAAGTGTCCGAAAAGCCGAAGAATATTCGGATGTCGCAGATTACTCTGAATCTCGATCTCACGAGCCACCTGTTTCTCCACCCTCCCTTGTTGGATCTCATTCTTGTGAAGTACCTTCAAAGCACAAACGAATCCGCTGTCTCGCTCCCGAGCGAGATAGACTCGTCCGAACTTTCCCTTTCCCAGCGCTTTGCCGATTTCGAACATGCCTAGATGTACTAATCTGGGCATTGGTTGTTTTGTGAGCTTGGTGGAGTGTTGTTCACGCTTTACTGCGGCGTTTGGTGCTTGGGATAGAACGGAGAGGGGATGGCGAGCTTGTGATGTAGATGATTGTCTTTCTTTTTGTCGGGGAGGTTGTGAGGGTGCGGAGCTTTGACGCGCGGGTTGGGTTTTGGAGTCGGTAGTGGCATGTTGGTCATCTTGATTTGCAGCATCGTCTGTGTCTTGCGATACAACCGAGGCGAGAGGATGTCTGGTCTTCGAGGGAGTTCGTTGGATGTTTGTTGACGCGGTCTCGGTAGAATTCGTGGTTGTAGTATTATGAGGAACAGCGTCGGACTTTTTGGGTCGTAGAACTCGGTTTACCGGCCGTGTATTCGCAGTTGCGCTCTGCTTTCTGTCGTCAATTGTGGACTCATATTTGGCTAATGGTTGATTAGATGGAACGTACTTTGGCTTTCTGTTGAAGCTTCGCATTATCGTGAGCATTCTCATCGACAATGGCCATATGCTTGAACCGAGTCTCAAGCGCGACGGTCACCATGGTTAGATCCTTTGTGGTGACTGTGCTTCTTTGTTGGACAAAACCGACAAGAATTGATAGATTTGAGGCTCTTTGTTCTGTGTGAGAGCTATGCTGAGGAACTGGTAGAGAGCCGATGTGTAAGCATGTCATGCGAGCTGCATCACGTTGCCGCGGTAACTAGTGAATCCATGTACCAGCAGCTTCTTTGTCAAGTACGCAGTTAATGCAGACATTAAAAGTTTGTATCATGAATAACTTAGAATTTTACGAGGTATAGACAGCTCTTCTAGGTCTTGATCTGCTATATAGAGTGTGGGACGGACTAATTATTTAGTAGCGCCGTGCCCAAACCTGTTCTGATCTGCTACCCCACAGCTCCACTCAGCCCGTCCAAATGAAAATGCATGACCCCAAACATTGCAAAATGCAGTGTAGAGGGGCATAAAATTACCATAACAACATAACAGACGTCCTTCATCAACGAGCTATATGTCTCATCCTGAGTATCTCTTCACATACTGCAACGCCGCTCTATTGACCACAACAACCAAAGCGTCAACCTCGCCACTCTCTATCCCAACAGAGATGCGCAAGAAGGGATCCGAGTCCTCTGCCATGGTCGAACTGGCCGATATTCGAGAAGCAGAGTACCCAAATCCAGCACCTTCCATGATAGGAAAGCCTTCCCTCCTTGATAATTATAAAACAAACTCATTGCATGCGTCCAGCCCTTCCTTGTTGTTCAACATCCCGTCGATGAAATCAGTTGTCACCAAAGCTCCACCATGGCCCCAGCCGTAATGTCTATTGGGTGGGATAAGCAACATCAGCAACATGAGATAGTGCGGATCTAAGATCATCCCTAGCATCTTAGTGGCTCAACAGATACCTAATGCGTGGTTCCCTGCGGATGCTGTTACCACAGACTGTGCCTTCGTCACCTCTGTAGCATTCAAAGCGCCCCGAAATTTGAAGGAGCCAGTATTTTGATGACACTCTAGTTTGGCATAGACACGCCTTGATGGATTGCTCATCCAGTGCAGAGAGACCTTTGTAGTGTTCTCTTACGCATCAATCGGGATTGGTGCAGGGCCGTAACCCTGTTTTTATGTTGTCAGTCCCCGTGACACATAATCACATATACTTGAGCTCCATGTGATGTACTAGTATGTAATCTCAGCTGCGATCCAGAGTGTGATTCGGCGTTCTTGCAGGCGCATAGAAATAAAACGCGAGTAAGCAGCCAAGAGTGAGTGATTAAGCTTGAGGCTACGGCGGTGTGTTGAGATTGAGAAAGCAATAGAAATATTGTGGCCGTTAGCTGCGGAGTAGTTTGTAGGAAGCAGGGAAGCTGGTTTCAATTCTTATGGGATGGACAAGGCTAACGGTTGCACAATGGATGGGAAGAGCATGAGCCGTCAGCCCTTGCTTCGGGTAGTGACTGAATGCAATAATCATCGATGGCCTCGATAAGATGGACATTTTTCAGGTATGTATATTCTAGGATTGGGTGATCCAGTAATGTTCAACACAGGTGCGATGCGGCCAGGACAGTTCGATTAACAGCCTACTAGTATGGACATGGACACAGGCCGATAGGGCGCAGTCGCCTAGGCCGTTCTAGTTGATCTGCTGTTTCAGGTAGTAGTGCTTTAAGCGAACCTTATCGGAGCTTCGGGACGGTGATGACATGTCACAGTCATTATGTTAATAGTAGCCATTGCCAAATGGACGGTCCTCCCTTGCTGAGAGGGCAGCAGAGAAGACAACTTGGTCAACCTGGCCACGTATCATCATCCGAGTTATTTAGTAGTGTGACCATCTTTCGGTCAGGTGAGTGTCGCATGACGAGTACTTAGTAGTTGATGGTTTAGTGAGTCTTAAGTCCGATCAAGTCGGCAATATATACTATAGTACACATAAGCACACAACTCCGTGTCAGGGATCATGCAAATTACTCGGATTAATTGTAGAATAAGTAAATTAGCTCAGCCGATCAAACCTACTCGTATAAGGCCCGCATTATGCCCTGGTAAACTCTGGTCCGTTTGATAGTCCCTGACAGAGTTCCTGGATGATCGCGGGGAGTGCCTGACGTTAGCGCCCGACAGGTGAGGCCAACCACCGCCGCTTACGTACATCGCCGCTTATCGTCATCCCGGAAGCTCCCTGCCGACCTGCGCCTCCTCTATTTACTTCCTTTCCTCTCCAACTCCGACTCATTCATTCCCATCCCTCAACTCTTTCACGCCTTATCTCATCATTGTTGAATGTAATCGATCGTCCTGTTTGCTTCTTTGACCGGCTACGCCCCCAATCATGCGGGGACTCCGCTTAATCCCCTTCATCGCAAGTCTTGGCGTTCTCCCTCAGTCGTGGGCCCGGGACGAACCGAGCTTAGGCTTCACCAACATCCATGAACCTGGTCGCTGTGCGATCCGAGGCCATTGCGGAAAGAAGTCATTCTTCGGTGGAGAGCTTCCTTGTCCGGACAATGGCCTGGCACAGGAGCCCGAAGCAGCGGTGAGAAAGAAGCTGGTAGACCTCTGTGGCAGCAAGTGGGAAGAAGGTCCTGTTTGCTGTCTGGATGAGCAAGTAAGCTCCATGGACGCCCCACATCCTCGGATCATTGGACGCTGCTGACTTGTCGTGCTACAGATCGATGCTCTTTCCAAAAATCTAAAACTCGCCGAAGGTATCATCGCGTCCTGTCCTGCGTGCAAGGATAATTTCTTCAACATCTTCTGCACGTTCACCTGCTCCCCAGACCAGTCCTTGTTCGTCAACGTCACCGATATCGACGAGGCCCGGGGCGGAAAACAACTTGTCACCGAAATTGATAACATTTGGTCGGAAGAGTATCAAAGCGGATTCTATAACAGCTGCAAGAATGTCAAGAATGGCGCTTCAGGTGGTAAAGCCATCGACTTCATCGGTGGCGGTGCCAAGAACTACACTCAGTTTTTGAAGTTCTTGGGTGACAAAAAGCTCCTAGGGAGCCCATTTCAGATTAACTTCAAGACCGAGCCTGCTGGCCCTGATCCTGAAGGAATGAAGCCACTGCCGATCAAGCCGAAGG